TACTTGGAGAGTAGGAGGAGTGTTAGCTATGTCTCGTGCTTTTGGTAATCGCATGTTAAAGCCATTTGTTGTTGCAGAACCAGAGATTCAGGTGATCCTCAGCATCACTAACCAATAAGCTAGTAATCTATTTGTTTGTCCTAATTTTCTGTGGCTCATTTGTTTTCATAATTTCTCCCTTGTGATTGCTGATTAATAGGATTAGTAGGGACAAAGCTTCACCTCAAGAAAAAGAGAATAGCTTTGATTTGCAGTTTAATACTTCCTAATTGATGGCAGCTGGCCAAAATTTAGTAATTTGGTATGCCAACTTACAAGATTGCTAAATGTAAAAAGTGTTGTTACTCAATCTCAATGCAGTTTGTGGGTCAAAGAGGGGTAACTAGTGGGGACTTAAAGACATTATTGTTGTGCTTACCATGCATTATCTGTACCAAATTGGTGGATGTGAACCCTGCCACTGGGGAGTTGCCCTCATTTTCTCCTGTCTCACATGTACCTCCTTTTTCCTTTATTCCACTATTTCCTTGTATACCTGCTAAGGCTTGACTGGATATTTGTTTTCTGAATGGCAAGGTATTAAAGTGGATTTATGAGAGTATTCTTTCTCTCTCCTTTTTTTATAACAATCTTTTTATTTCCCAGGACCAAGAGATAGATGAAGATTTGGAGTTGCTTGTGCTTGCTAGTGATGGACTATGGGATGTAGTACCCAATGAGGTAAAACTCTCTCTGAATCTTTCTGGGAATGAAATTTAGCTATCTAGGCTGTAAAGAAAAAGAACGAGCCAAAAAAACAAAATGTATAATAAGGAAATCTGAGGAAGGAACGAGTATCATCTTTTGAACTTCTTGATCACTTTAATGAGGCTCCAGTAGAGATTAAACTAGTTGATTGGACACGTGGACAGTGAGTCATTAGGATTTCTGGTGCATTATTCATAAGATTTCTCTACATCAATCCTAATAATTTTAAGAATTCTGTTCTTAGGATGCTGTTTCACTAGCCCGCACTGAAGAAGAACCTGAGGCTGCTGCTCGGAAGTTGACAGAGACCGCTTTTACTCGTGGCAGTGCTGACAACATAACATGCATTGTGGTGAGATTCCACCACAACAGGGCAAATGGAGCCAGTCCCCAGCCTGGGTAGAAACCCGTCTTTTTATTGCATGTGTTGATTTTGTTTACCATGTAAGTTGGTTTAATTTTGAAATCAACACATGCGCATAATGGCAGAATGTGCATATCAAGGAGATGTTTGTTTGTTCATTGTTTTATTTTCCTGATTTGATCTTTGGCATTGAATACATGGACTATAATCTATATCTTGTTGGGATCCTGCCCCAGAACATATCAATAAGTCTATTTTCTGCCTGCTTGTTTTGTGTTCTATTAAAATCTATTAAAGCTTTAAATCTATTTTTCACCTGCCTGTCTGAATGTTTTATGTTAAGTAAATAGCTACTTTTTTTATTTTTTATTTTTTGCCATAACTGAATAGCTAGGATTCTGATTTTTTTTTTTTATATTGGATAATGAGTTATATAACACGATAATCTTTTTTATTTTAAATTTTTCCTCACTTATTTTAAAATTTAAATTTAAGATTTCTAACATGGTGACTCTAGTTCATAACTATTAGAATGTCTCTTAAGGAACAAAATACTGTTTTGATGCACAAGTAGGTATCAAGCTATGCTTCATTGTAATTTCTCTCCTCTATAGGAGTTTGTCTTCCTTTCTTCACTTTTCTCGCTTGTGGGAAGTACTTTTTGGCTTCAAAGGCACACATTGTACTACACTTTAGAACTTGTGAAAAATATTGCAACTGTTTAGAAGTTGGTCTTCTTCCCATTCCTTCGCAAATCTTAGAAATACTGAATCGATACTCTTGCTTGAACTTCTCATTTGGGTTTTAATGAAATTAGTATATTATTTTTATTTTATCCTCATACTTCCTTCTATTTACAAAAAACCCACTATATATAGGGTTCCATTTATAACTTTCTTGTTTCTTTCTTTCTCAAGTAGCTCAGAATCTTGCGTTTCTTCTCCTTGTCTTCTTGCCCATCTTCTTCCTAAGCAAATTGGAAAATCCCCACCGTCTAGCCACCAACCCTCTTTCTCCCTAACTGCTTCAAAGCAGAAAAGAACAACTCAGTCAACAAAAAGGCCAAAATCCCATTTCTCCTTCTTCTTCTATGAGTCTCCTTTCTTTTCTCTTATTTTTTTTGCCTTTTTTTGGTGTTTCTGCTACTAATTTGGTGGTGATGAATGATGATTGTTGGTTGGTAGTGTGAGTTGGTGAGAGAGTTAACCGAAAATCCCTTGTCATTCCCCGTCTTCTTCTAGATCTAGAACGTGCAACGATCGTCGATGATTGCCAACGATCGCCAATGACTGCCTAGACCATCGCGAAAATCCATGTCTTCTCCTTGAAAATCCCTAACTGTTGTTACTTACCATGAGACGACCGTGAGGAGCTTGAGGATCTGGATACATTTTCAAGTAAGCTACCTTTCCTCCCTCCCCTTTATTTTCTTTGGTTTTTCCCACCCAAAATCCCTAATTTTCCCCTTAATTTTTCCAGTCTTGATTGTGTCTGTAACGCACTCATTGCCATTGGGATCTACAAAGCCACTGCTAGTAAGCTCCCATTGCTCCCCTTTTTTTTTCTTTTTGATTGAAGATTTTTAGAAGCTTTTTTGAAGATTTTTGATTGTTTATTACTGTTTCGTCTTCTACTTCCTCATGTCAGATCTCTGCAAATTGTTGTGTCCTATACTTTGCCATTGTTTCCGCATTTTTCTTCTATTTTTTCGCATTTTTCTTCTGTTTTTAACTTGTTTCTATTTTTGGATAATAAGCTTCATGGGTTTGTGGCAAAGAATTGGTAAATTATGATGCTTGTGTGCTCTACCTCCTGTTCGTAGTAACTTTTTCTTCTCTATTGAAATAATTTTTGTTGTGAAGAAAGTTGAGGAAAGGTGGAGAAGGGTAGAATAGAATACTATTTTTTGGTCGTTGCTGAATTAGTCAAATCAATTCTAGTGCTACTAGATTATCTTCTTCTTCTTCTTATTTTCTTTTTTTTAAGTAATTTAATTCATATTGATTAAAGGTGAATCTGTACTTTGTGTCTTACATTCTCCCCGATTTCGTTTAGAAGAATGCAGTACCCAGCTGTGGCCGCTTGTTGTGGTGTTTGGCACAAGACGTTTTCTGGTGCCTAATTATGTCAATTGCAGTAGTGCTTTGATTTTTGATATTTATGTTCTAGAATCCTGTTAAGTTGTATTTGAACTTAGTAATTAGCATTAATTTGAAGGTTGTTATTCAGATAAATCTTTCTGTTGTGGGAATTTTATATGCAGATTACCTTATCTTTAGTTGGTATGGCTGTTTCAATTTCTTATCTAGCTTGCTTTATTGTTTTTATTATAATGAATATTTATATGTTAGAACAGAAAGTGATTGTCAGGA